AACTTGTTACACAACAAAAAATAACTAATACACACTGGCAGGGCCACAGTATGACTTTTGTGGGCCCCAGGCACCTTTGCCTTTGTAGGTGTCTTCCTCCAAAAATATTAAAAGTTCTATTTGTGACCATGTTGATATAAAGACAAATATGATCCAGACTGGATTCATTATTATATATTCATTATCATTATATCCACTTTTGTCTTCTGATTTTAAAAGAAATAAAAGTTAAAACATTTTTGTAGGCCCTGAAGTATAGGGGCCTAGACACTGTGCCTTCCATGTCAGATGGATGTCAGCCCTGCACATGGGAAGAGCATGGGAGGGACATGCAGTTACTGATGAAAGCTGAATACCGAAGAATTGGTTACTGGCCCTGACAGTCCTCAAGTTCAAGGAAGAAGCCAAATACCTGGGAATACTTAGTATTTGGGAAAAATCCTATCCTCTGTGGATCCTATTGGGTCCTATATCTCAGGTAACCAGGGGAACTGAGTGCAAGCTGCTCTAAGTTATTACTAAAAGGCAATGACATGACCTGCACTTGTTGGGTCCAAACCACACAGGATCCCATGAAAGCTGGTGTATCAGCTATGACTATTCAGGTGACGTGGGCTGTGTAACACTGGGTTCTGGACTCAATCTCTTCCTGAAGCTGATGTCTCATACTCACAATTTGAATTAAATCTGGAGGCAGTAAAGTCTTTTGATTCACAGACACAGAATCTAGCAGGCTTGAGTTTAAATCCTACCTGTGGTCCTTCCTGGCTGTGTTGTCTTTGGCAATTTTTCAACCTCAAGCCTAAAGTTTCTCCATCTACAGTATACATTCCACCAGTCAACAGCATAAAACATGGCCCCCCAAAATGGCAAGTGGTTCCATCCCATAGACTATCTTCAAAGTCAAAAGAGTTGTTACAAAATTGGAGTGAGGGATTAGATAGTTCCACCTGATGAAACGATTATAAATATATGAAGTCTATGAAGGAAATGATAACATATTACTGAAGGACGTGAAAGAAGATCTGAATAAAGGGACAGATGTACTATGTTGATTCAGGAAAACACTCCATTCTCCATAATGTAATACATCAATTAAAGGAATCATAATCAAAATGTCAACAAAATTTCTGTGCAATTTGAGAAACTTCAAATTCTAAAATTTATATGTAAGAAGAAACTTCAAGAATACTAAAGATAATTCTGTAAAAGAAGAACAAAGAGGAGACATGCCTTACCAGACAGAAAAACATATTATGAAGATAGAATAATTATTATGGTGTTAGTACAGAAAAATAATAAAATAGAAAGTTGAGGGGGCGATCCATGTACATATGAGACTTTAGTATACAATAAAATCAATATTTAAAATCAGTGGGGAAAGGAAAGACTATCAGTAAATATTGTTGGGATAGTTGTTAAGTCTTGGGAGGAAATTTTTTACATTAAATTGACAAGTTTAACTACATCAAAAAAGTTTTTTTAATTCTATGCCATAAATCACCATAACAAAGTTAAAAGATAACAACCTTTCAGTTATAGATGCTAGATTGACCATTTTATCTCTCCTCCTTCTCAAGGCTCCATATATAAACCCACAAGGGCAAAGAGAATGGAAGAAGAGATACCAATGGATGAGAAATTTCTATCCATTTTGGGGAGAAACACAGCAAGTGGATGACTGGTAACTGATTTAGCAGAGTGGAATAATTTGAAGCCAAAATCCACAGGTGGATGGGGAAGAGAAGGGAGCTAACTTGCTTCAACAACCTGAAGAGGCTTAGGACTCGGGGGTGCTGAGTATGGCCAATGGCAGGGTGAGATGTGATACCGAAAACATGGAGATTGGTTCAAAGTCTGCATAGCGTGTGGCTGGATGGACCCCCAGAGTTCTTCCCTTACTCATAGTATACTCTGGAATCCAACCTGCAGGCAGAAAGTCAGCAGTTTCTTCTTCAGAGACACTGGGCAGCCTAGGAGGAAAACCCTACATACTGCCCTCTGAGAGGCCCCAAATGAAATGTCCAATGCTCTGCTCTGTTGTCTGAAAGTGAAGCCCACTAGCCAACAAGTCAGGTCCAGGCCACCAGAGCTTCCACTCAACATTGTGTGGGTTCCTCTTAGAAACAAACAACAAAACAAGGAACGTCAGACATTTTAGGAAATGATCCAACATGAAAGAAATTCCAATAAGCCAAGAGGAAAAATAAACCTGTCAAAAAGGAGATAATTCATACATTAGAAGAAATATTTTTTAAATCTTTCTTCTATCCTCAAAGAGATACTAGAAGATATTATACCCATATATAAGAACAGGAAGCCAGAGAAAGAAACAATAATAGAACAATAAAGAGTTCTTAGAAATTAAAAATACAGTCATCAAAATAAAACCTTCAGTGAAAGGTTTTGAAGATAAGATCTAGGAAATCCCCTGAAAACTAAAGTTGAAAGAAGAAGAAATGGAAAGTATTAGAGAGAAGCTAAGAGACACATAGAACGAATGCAGGAGTTCCAATATCTGATGAAGGTGAGTTTCGGAATGAGAGAACAGAGAAAATAGAGTGGAAAATAAAAGAGAGAAAGATCCAGAAATGAAGAGCATGAATGTCCAGATGGGAAGAATCCAGTGAGTAGCTAACATAACAGTGATAACATATCCTCATCATGCAATTCCAAATCATCACGAAATTTCACAACGCCAGGTATAACAAGGAGAGGCCTAAAAGTTTAAAGAAAGAACAGATCACAAGTATCAAATAACATCAGACTTCTCAGGTTGTCTGGATCTAGAAGAAAATGGAGAAATATTTCCAAAATACAGAGAGAAAATTATTTCTAACTACAATTAAACACCCAGAGAAACCTGTAAGTATAAAATAAAGCCATTATTTTCTACAAACAAAGCGTACTTCCCAGCTACTAGAGGATGGACTCAGGCAAAGCTAGGGAGTAAAATTAGAGAGAGACCCAGGAGAAGTGCATCCAGTAAGAGGAGTGTGGACGGGAAGTGCTGACACGAACTATAAAGCGGCCCAAGGAAGCAATAACTCAGACTGGAGCAGGGTAGAGGGCTCTAAAGGGAAGGCCACCAGGAAGAAGGGGAAATCTAAAAATATACAACCAGGTGGAGCCTTGGGGAAAACATAGGATAGCATATTATACAAGGGAAGAGGCAGCTTGAAACTTCAACAAAAACACAAGGTTGTCCTATAAAGAAACTGTAATTATGGTATACGTCTTGGCTTTGCAATGTATGTGTTTGTAGACTTATGACATAAATACTGGTTATTTGACTAAAAATAGTGATAAAAGTGTACTCTGAAGGTGAAAGAGGAGAAGTAAAAGTAAGGTAAAGAGAAGTACATTTCAATCTGTCAAGGAAGAAACCATTAGATAATACATAAAATTGAATAAATCAAGAAGTAGCAATTTAATATATTATTTAGGAATATGAAAATTGCCAATAGAATCACAGCTAAAGAAACAGAATAAGTAAAATATGGGTAAATCTGGGGATTGAGAAGAAAGGAAAAATAGGAGAAGAGACTTCTTATTTTTATTACAAGCTTTTGAAAATATTACCAAGGGCAGGTCTAGGTTGTGTGGCACTTGAAGTTCACCTGGGCTGGGGGTGGCGGGAGATGTGTCCCTTTTAAGCAAAAGAATAACATTTATAAATAAAAATTAGTTATAAAAGTAAATATTTAGAGTAAAAATCCCACAAAAATTACAAATTTAAGAAAAATGCAAATACATAGACATCATAAAATACAGAAAAAAAACAATATTTTTATTAACTGCCTGATATAGCCGTATAATATATTTTCTGATACTTTTTGGATACATACTTTTTGATTACCTCTTCATTTGTAATATGAAAATAATGTAATTTCCTTTTAGGGAGCGAAAAGATAATTCAGTCTTTAGCATGGGTGATTGAAATTTTTCTTTATTATTAACAGTTTAGAAAAGTTTGTTTTACAATTTGATATTGATAATGTCACAAATTAGTAAAATTTATGACAAATTTAGATAAAGCTCTATACACTTTCTTTAATATATGAACAGTAAAGTTTCAAAACACTTAAAATTTTCTTCTGCAGTGACTACTCTTTAAACTGGAGAAACTCATAAACCAATTTGTCATCCAAGTTCTTGTAGTGATTGACTGTGTATTGACCTAGTGATTTATTATGACAAATAAGAACTTCCAGGCGTAAATGAGAACCCAATCCTCCGTTTATAATTTACCTGTCCGGTCATTGGAAGGATTTTCCACAGACTAGGTTCTGGCTCTGTGAATTTCAAAGTTTATTTCTCCTCTCTTACATACTTCTAGCGCTGGGAGACTAGAACACATTCGTATCGCGGTACGACCTCTGGCCTCAAACCTCTGTGTCACAATAGTAGGTCAGTCGACACAACAAACAGAAGTATTCCTGAAAGCCACTCCTACACGAGGATGTCCCACAATAACTTTACTGTACTATGTGGAAGTGACTGCAAACCACATAAACACATCCCACTAAATCCAAACGAAATATGTCCCCACTTCAATATCCCCTTGGCCAGATCCCAATAACCCCAGCACCACGCGACGTGAAAGCAAGCAGGCGTGGAAAGAGGCAGCAGTTGTAAGATATGTTAACATGTTGAGAATATATTTTTTAAAACCTCATACACATTAGAAAAAGACAAATAAGCCAAGAGAAAAATGGGTGAAAGTTATGACACGCGTGTCACAACAACAGGGATATAAAGAGAGATATACAAGTGGCCAGAAAACAAAAGAAAGAATGATTTTAGTAACCAAGGAAATGCTAATTTACAACAAGAAACAGTAACCTGGCAGAGGTGTTACTAAAAATCGCCATGCTATAGGATCACGTACAATATAAGTAACAGGCCTGGGGGGAAACGGAGGTACAGGCACAACATTAAAAACAAAGTCTCAAGAGAAACACGCTTAAAAAATTAATTAAAATAAAAAACTGACCCAATAAAAATGTTCTCACAGTTCTAAACCTCTTTAATTCCTAATAATTGAGTAAACATAGGCCTTTGCCTGAATAAAAGGCATGGAGTTGGCTTGGTGGAAGCAGACGAGGTAAGATGGAGCTTCCACACAACGGAGAAGAGGTGTGGTGAATGGAATCGTCACGTATAAAGACAAACGTGACATCAGCGGTGGATAGCTCATGGTCCTGATTTTCTTTCTTCCAGTCGGGAATAAAAGAGAAATTCTGCTTTTGTTGTTGTTTTCAGTTTCCTCCTTTCAGAAAGCAGCAGCTTGTATGGCTCCAAATAAGACCAGATTCCAGGAAACGCTAGCCTGCTGCGCTTGGCAGGATAGTTGTGATTTTCAATCCACTGCGCGTGCTTTTCAACCCCACTTGCAGCAGGAAAACCAGGATATGTTAAGCTCTCCACTCTGCTAGGTTTGCAGTCTTGTCTCTGAAGGTGAAAAGCATATTCCCTTAGGCCTGTTGTTCTTGTGGCATCGCATTCACTTTTCATCATTTCCTTCAAAATCGTTTATTTCAACATCCTCCTGCATAATTAGGGCTTTCGTTTTTTGTTTATTATGTGGGTTCTTAAAACCAGTAGCCTTACTCATATTTGGGGTTCTGTATTAAACATTTTTTTTAACTTTTAATTTCAAAATAATTATAGACTAACAAGAAGTTGCAAAAATAGTAGGCATACCTTCACTCAGCTTCCCCTGGTGACAACATCTTACGTAACTATAGTACAGTATCAAAAGCAGGAAATTGACATGGGCATGTTACTAAACATTTTCATCAAGAAAATTACACAAGCCTGGGACAATGGTGTGACGGAACCACAGAGAAGGTGTAAACTGGGGTAAAATAAAGAAGATGGGGGGGGGGTGTGTTGGTGTGTGCGTTTATGTGTATTTTATATTCCTCCTTGGGTCACTATTTTCAGCTAGGTGATGTTTTTTGTGTTAATCTGGTGACACTAGCAAAAAGCATAGTCACCTTCTTCTCCCCTTTTTTTGTGACAGAGATAACAAGGCAGGCACATTTGTAGGAGACATGGGAATCCTCTATCAGGTGACTTTGGCTGGAGGAATTCCTGGTGGCAGTGCCAAACTTTCCTTGCACTGCTGTCTAAGACACTTCCACCCACACAGTCTTCCTTCCTTCTCTCTCTCCTGCACTCGGGGCATCCAGGTCTGATGATTCTCCCAGCCTCTCCTGGCTCCCTCCTCATTTTCTGTCGCCGATGTTTCTTCTAACAAATTTCTCGCATGTTTCATTGTGTCTTGGCATCTCCTTCTCAGAGGATGCCAACTAACACACATCTAGGTGGTTTTACTTCTCTACTTATCTACTGTGTGAGAACGAATTCAAACATCACAGTCACAGGCTGTAACTGCATTTCCATCCTCCTCATAATTTTTGCAAACCCAGACCTTATTTTTTCCCTGATCTCCTCTGTCTCACGAATTAAGTCCTTATGGGCCACTTTGGTTCAGCCTTAAGCTGACTTGAACACTTCACTGCTGGCTTCTACAGGAACCCTAATTACACTCAGCATAGCATGAGTTTTGGGGTCTTATTGAATACTGTGGGTCACAGGGCGTGAAGTCACATCACAGGGAGCATGTCTCAGCCATTTCAATGGTTTCAGCCCCAGGACCTCTTGCCCTATTCAGGTCTGCTTAGCTCTTGGCAGTTGACGTCTATGCACAGACTCCTGGGAAGTCTAATCTAGTCCTATGCTTTCTCCTTCATCCTGTCCCAGCTTCATGGCCTTCCCTAAAAATGGTAAAACCAAACACATGAATGAATAAATAAATGAATGTTGTACAGTAGCAGCCTTTCCAGAAGTAAGAATAATAGATCTGGTTACCACACTACCATGTAGCACTCTCCGCTCCTCATCTCCTCATCCCATCCTCTCTACATCAAGGCTCCCCCTTTATGTCACAGAAGGTAGCTTCCAGAACATAGAGGGAGGAGAAGAGAGCTAGCATTGCTAATTCTTTATATATGCCACTAGTGAGTTTTTATTGTTAGATATTTTTAACTCTATTTTACAGATGGGGAAACTGGGGCTTAGAGAGGGTGAGTAACTTGCCCAAGGTCAATTAGAGGTGGAGGCATGATTAGAAGCCAGGTTTACTGGATTCCCAAGCCTTTGTCTGTGCCTTGTATCATCACACTCCTCCCACAATCAACTGCTAATAGATCATAGGAAAGGAGGGACCTAGAAATAGAGGGGTGAAGAAGAGGGTGTGGTTGAATTGTGACAGATATTGTCAGTGCCCGCCCCATATCCTCTCCATTCAATCCCAAGTTCATTGTCCAACTTCCCCTATGAGCCAATCTGACTCTTGTCTCTCTTAGGGGAGGGCATGTTTGGGGTAGGGAGAGAGCTCTGTCAGCATGTGAGTAGGCTGAAAGTGCTAGGGAGTTCATGCCTTGTAGACAGACCTTATTTGCTTCTAGATATATACCTCCCTCCTTTTCTCCCTCTTCATGGGAGGCAATTCTGAGTCATAGTCCACGTGGTCCTCCAAGGGTGCCCAGTGGGACTGAGCCCCCATTGTCCACAGCAGTGATCAGTTCATTAACATACCGTTCATTGGTTTTCCTCTCTTCCACTGTCACTTCCCCATTTCATCACTGGGCTTCCTGGGATCACCTCCCAAGTAAAGTACTTGCTTTTGAGTCTTCCTTCAGAGCCTGCTTTGGGGGAATCCAAACTAAAACAATCCAAAATTACAGCTCTGAACATCCTTTTCTAGGCAACATTAGCACAGTTCTCATTCCTTTACTAGCTCATTATTGTTTATTGGATAACCTCCAAGTTCGTTAGCCTGGTATTCAGAGCCCTCTGTGATGTGACCACAATCTTCCTTCTCACAATTTATGCCCAATATCCTCCAGGCAACCTGTCCTCCAGCCACACCAGGTTACTGTCTGTTTTCAAAACACACCCTGGTGGTTCTATCCACTAGCAGGTCCCTTCTCTGGTAAGTCTAAACACTACTTGACACTCACACCTCAATTCTGTGCCAGACACTCTGCTAATTGTTTGACATGTTATGTTAGTTAGAGGACTCACTAGCCGCTGTAGCCTGTAAATCCCAAATCTCAATGACTTACCTCAACAGAAGTTTCTTTCTTTCTCATATGAAGTCTGATAGGTGTCTGGAAAGGGTCCTTCCGTCTTGTGGTCCCATCACCTCTTAAAACCTTGGAATCCTCTGCTGGTTCTTCTGCAGGGGAAAAGAGAGCCGTAGAGAACCACACAGGAGGTCTTTATGGGCCAGATTTAAAAATAGCACACATTAGTTATTCCCTATATACCATTGACCAGAACCCAGTCACATGGCCTTTAAAAACTGCAAAGGATACTGGGAAATGTAGCCTAGCTGTGGTTCCCAGGAAAAAGAGAGAATCAATCCATTCTGGTGAGCACATAATGTAATAATTACTTTCTGTCATAATGTACTAATTCATTTGTTGCTCATAACAATCTTTTGGAGTAGGGACTACTATTAAACCTTTTTTATACATAGGGAAGCTGGGCACAGAACACTTGAGTGATTTGCCTAGAATTATAAAGTAAGTCAGTGTTAGAGCCAGGATCTAAACTCAGGTAGTCTGGCTCCATCTTTTTATTTTTTTCTCATTTATGTCATCTTCAATTTCTTTCATCAATTTTTTTTTATTTTGTTTTGTTTTTGTTAAGGTAACATTGGTTTATAACATTATATAAATTTCAGGTGTACATCATTATATTTCAATTTCTATGTAGATTACATCGTGTTCACCACCCGAAGACTAATTACCATCCATCACTACACACATGTGCCCAGTCACCCTTTTCATCCTCCTCCCTCCCCCCTTCCCCTCTGGTAACCACGAATCCAACCTCTGTCTCTACGTGTTTGTTTGTCATTGTTTTTATCTTCTATTTATGAGTGAGATCATATGGTATTTGACTTTCTCCCTCTGACTTATTTCACTTAGCACAATACCCTCAAGGTCCATCCATGTTGTTGCAAATGGCAAGATTTCATCTTTTTTTAATGGTTGAATAGTATTCCATTGTGTATATATACCACATCTTCTTTATCCATTCATCCTTTGATAGGCACCTAAGTTGCTTCCAAGTCTTGGCTATTGTGAATAATGCCGCAATGAACATAGGGGTGCATGTATTTTTATGGATTTGTGTTTTCATGATCTTTGGATAAATACCCAGCAGTGAAATAGCTGGATTCTATAGTAGTTCTATTCTTAACTTTTTGAGGAATCTGCCTACTGTTTTTCATGGTGGCTGCACCAGTTTGCACTGCCACCAGGAGTGTATGTTCCCTTTTCTCCACATCCTCTCCAACACCTGGTATTTCCTGTCTTGTTAATTAGGGCCATTCTGACGGGCATGAAGCGATATCTCATTGTAGTTTTGATTTGCATTTTTCTAATAATTAGTGATGTTGAACATCTTTTCATGTGCTGTTGGCCATCTGTATATATTCTTTGGAAAAATGTCTGTTCAGATCTTTTGCCCATTTTTTAACAGGTTATTTGGTTTTTCTGTTGTTGAGATGTATGAGTTCTTTATATATTTTGGATATTAACCCCATAGCAGATATATGGTTTGCAAATATTTCCCTCAATTATTAGATTGTATTTTCATTTTGTTGATGGTTTCCTTTGCCGTGCACAAGCTTTTCAGTTTGATGTAGTCCCATTTGTTTGTTTTTTCTCGTTTCCCTTGCCTGTCAGACATGGTATTTAAAAATGTGCTGCTAAGACTGATGTTAAAGAGCATGCTGCTTATGTTTTCCTCTAGAAGTTTTATGGTTTCAGGTCTTATATTCAAGTCTTTAATCCATTTTGAATTAATTTTTGTGTATGGTGAAAGATAATGGTCTATTTTCATTCTTTTGCATGTGGCTGTCCAGTTTTCCCATTTATTATTCGATAAACACCATTTATTGAAGAAACTTTCCTTTCTCTATTGTATGTTCTTGGCTCCCTTCTCAAAAAGTAGCTCTCCATAGATGTGTGGGTTTATTTCTGGGCTCTCAATCCTATTCCATTGATCTGTGTTTCTGTTTTTGTACCAGTACCATGCTGTTTTGGTTACTATAGCTTTGTAGTATATTTTGAAATCAGGGAGTGTGATACCTCCAGCTGTGTTCTTTTTTCTCAGGATTCCTTTGACTTTTCAGGGTCTTTTGTTGTTCTATATAAATTTTAGGATTCTTTGTTCTATTTCTATGAAAAATATCACAGGAAATTTGATGGGGATTGCGTTGAATCTGTGGATTGCTTTAGGAAGTACGGGCATTTTAACTATGTTAATTCTTCCAATCCAGGAGCTTGGACTATCTTTCCATTTCCTTGTGTCTTCAATTTCTTTCAATAATGTTTTATAGTTTTCAGAGTACCAGTCTTTCACTTCTTTGGTAATATTTATTCTTAGGTATTTTAATCTTTTTGTTGCAATTGTAAATGGGATTGTATTCTTAATTTCTCTTTCTGCTACTTCATTGTTAGTGTTTAGAAACACAACTGGTTTTTTGTTTGTTTGTTTTTTGGGTTTTTTTGATGAGGAAGAGTTGCCCTGAGCTAACATCTGTGCCAGTCTTCTTCTGTTTTGTATGTGGGTGGCCACCAGAGCATGGCCGCTGATGAGTGGAGTAGGTCCGCATCTGAGAGCCAAACCTCAGCCACTGAGGCAGAGCGTGCCATACTTAACCACTAGGCCGAGGGCTGCCACCAAAATGCAACTGATTTTTGTATGTTGATTTTTTTATCCTGCAACTTTCGTACATCCATTTATTATTTCTTAAAGTTTTTTGGTGGATTCTTTAGGGTCATCTATATATAAAATCATGTCATCTACAAATAATGATAATTTCACTTCTTCCTTTCCATTTTGGATCCCTTTTATTTCTTTTTCTTGCCTGATTGCTCTGGCTAGGACTTCCGATACTATGTTAAATAGGAGTGGTGAAAGTGGGCATCCCTGTCTGGTTCCTGTTCTTAGAAGGAAAGCTTTCAGTTTTTCTCCTTTGCGTATAATATTAGCTGAAGATTTGTCATATATGGCCTTTATTATGTTGAGGTACTTGCCTTCTATACCCATTTTTTTCACAGTTTTTATCATAAATGGATGCTGTATCTTGTCAGATGCTTTCTCTGTATCTATTGTTATGATCATGTGATTTTTATTCTTCATTTTGTTAATGTGGTGTATCACGTTGATTGATTTGCAGATGTTGAATCACCCCTGTATCCCTGGAATAAATCCCACTTGATGATGGTTTATGATCTTTTTAATGTATTGTTGTGTTCGATTTGCTAGTATTTTGTTGAGGATTTTTGCACTGATGTTCATCAGTAATATTGGCCTGTAATTTTCTTTTTTTGTGTTGTCCTTGTCTGGTTTTGGTATCAGGGTAATTTTGGCCTCGTAGAAAGAGTTAGGAAGCTTCCCCTCCTCTTCAATTTTTTGGAAGAGTTTGAGAAGGATAGGTATTAGGTCTTCTTTGAATGTTTGGTAGAATTCACCAGAGAAGCCATCTGGTCCTGGACTTTTATTTTTTGAGGGGTTTTTGATCACAGTTTGGATCACCTTGCTGGTGATTGCCTTACTGGTCTATTCAAATTCTCTACTTCTTCTTGATCCAGTTTTGGAAGGTTGTATGCTTCTAAGAATTTATACATTTCTTCTAGATTATCCAGTTTGTTGGCATATAGTTTTTTGTAGTATTCTCTTATAATCTTTTATATTTCTGGCATCCTCAAACTGCAGAGAATATTAACTTTTCTTTAAAGAAAAGGAATTAACACCTTTCCTTAGATGTGCTGAGGACTCATGGTGCTCACCTGAACCTTCTTTTTCAGTTACAGGACATCAGCTCCACATCCTTAGAACTTCCTTCTGGAACAACTGACCCCACTTTGCTGCCTCCTCGGCTTGGCCCTTGCAGTCATGCTCCCTCACTCACCCTGCTCTGAGTGGAGGCGTGCCCCAGGCATGGCAGCACACAATTGTTTCGGGTTTTAGAAGGTGGGGCTGATCTCCTATGTGGTTTTTTGAGAAGCACAAGTCTGCTGCAGCTGAAAAGCCCCACCATCCGTAGGCCCACACACTGTCAATACAGTCCTGCCCCATGCTCATGCCCTAACCCACTGAAGTGGACACACTTACCCCACTGAAGAGGCCCTACACAATCCACCAATGCAGGCACACCCCTTGCACACACCCTGCCCCTCGTGTTCGCCCTGCCCCGGAGAGGCAGACCCACTCACCCCACTGCAGAGGTCCCACACACCCTGCCTATGTGGACCCACATGTTGCCCAAGGGCTTGCTGTTGGATGCGGCCAGTCCCTAGGGTGGGCTGCCTGCCCTGGCTGAGCTGGATTAAATAGGTGCTCAAGTGGGTGGGGCAGACTCCTGCACCAACAGGTCAGGGGAGAACTCTAATGGCATCTGCCAGCATCTGTGTCAGCACACCTGTACTAGGTCACAATAATGGTTGCCATGAATGTCTCGGTCCATGGGGAGGTGGTTCTAGCCTGGGGAGGTGTCCTCTCTTGCCAAGATGTGCCCAGAGCTTATTAAGTGAGTCTCTTTTCACCAAAGGACTATGTACCTTTCTTTCTTGTGATTTTAGGTTGCTTTCTGAAACAGATGAATTTGTGCATGAGCCCTTCAAGAGCAGGCTTTTCTTTCTCTTATGTCTGATAGCTTTTGTGGGGGGTATTCTCCATTGTTGTTAATTACTAGCAAAGACAGATATTATGACACTCATCTTGGTTGTGTTGAGTCCAAAAGCTGCTTATTGTGGCAAAGCTCTCCCACTGATCCCCTACTCCTCCAGGAAAAGCTTTGTATCTTAAGATTGCTCCTGGTTGTGAAGCACCATGGCACATCTGTGGCTTTTTCCTCTCCAGAAAGGAATTTCTGCCTCTTCCACTTCATTTGGCACTGTCCCTTGTTGTGGGGGTTCTTTTCATCCAGTTTTCAGTTCTCTTTCAGGGGTAATTGTTCCAATAGTAGTTATATATTGTTATGTCCATAGGAGGAGGTGAGTTCAGAGTCCTCCTATGCCACCATCTCCCTTGAATCTCTTGGCTCCATCTTTTTTTTTTTTTAAGATTTTATTTTATTTCCTTTTTTCTCCCCAAAGCCCCCAGTACATGGCTGTATATTCTTCATTGTGGGTCCTTCTAGTTGTGGTATGTGGGACGCTGCCTCAGCATGGCTTTGATGAACAGTGCCATGTCCGCGCCCAGGATTCGAACCAACGAAACACTGGGCCGCCTGCAGTGGAGCACGCGAACTTAACCACTCAGCCACAGGGCCAGCCCCATGGCTCCATCTTTTAACATCTGCACTAACATTGCCCT